CAGTGTTTTACAGAAACTGTCAAATCGTGTTCCGAAGGGACAGCGCCACCACCTTCTCAAGTCTGCGTTTTTGCAAAACCTCCTAGTACTTCCCGCGGATGCGATTCTCAGGCCACGGTGAAGGATCACTCGGTCCTTGCTCCGCTGGGCACATGTCTCCATGTTTCCTCTTCTGAAATGCCTTCATCTCTAGGAACTGAATACTGCTAATCTTTCAGTCCACTACCTCTAAGGAGATGCTTTGAAAAACCTCGCTTTTGTAGCTAGTAATCCATCAAGTACATATTAATTGCGCGTTAATTGCTTCTTCTTATTCATCTGTTTCACCAGCATTTCACACCGTGTCAGGCACATTGTAAACCTTCCCAGTTTAACCAGAGCATTCCGCCTTCCCGGCACCTTACCAGCCAGTGCCAGCCGGGCGAGGCTGCTCTCCTGACTGTGTGGGAAGGAGCAGGGCTCAGCTCGCCAGTGGGTTTAGGCCTCAACCTCCACAGTATCCTGATGGGTGGTAAGATGATATGTGGCTCTCAGAATAGCTTCACCCTTGAGCTTCTATTTCCGTTAGCTCCGTTGAGCAGAGGGATTTTATTTATTGGTTCTTTCTAAAAATCCAACAGGCAGATCTCAGGTGAAGTGTTAAAGCAAAAACGAATTTCTTAATTTAGGAAAGCATCTCCCCACACCCAGTCCCCCCCAAGGGGGGTTAGGCTGCAGGGACCATGTCTCCCCATGCTCAGAGCCTTCCCAAGGGTGGTTAGGCCGCAGGGACCATGTCACCCAGTGCTCAGAGCCCTCCCAAGGGTGATTAGGCCGCAGGGACTGTGTCTCCCCATGCCCAGGCCCTCCCTAGGGCAATTAGGCCGCAGGGACCGTGTCTCCCCATGCCCAGGCCCTCCCTAGGGTGGTTAGGCCGCAGGAGCACAGACAGCAGCACTGGAGGGGTGGAGTAGAGAGATATAACTGTAACCGTCTCTGAGGATAACATCAGAAGCATTAAGAAGAAGGAATTATAATTTCCACCTTGATATCTTTTAAGTGAATTTACACTTGATTCATTTCTGGAGGCCTACTCCTTGTCCTTACCTGTACTAATGAATATATATTAAAATGAGAATAGAGGTGAACCCACCTGAAGAGCTAATGAACAAATGCAGGTTGGACTTGGAAAGTTCTTCCTTGTGAGCCTTGAATGGCTTGTATCAGCTACACTGGCACCTCTCTGAGAGGGACCCGATGACTTCCAGTCCTGGGGGACAGATGTCCTCCCTGTCATGGAGAAGCAGTGTCCTCCTTGGGGACTGGTGCGGCATCAGCAGTGTAAGGGGTGTACCTGGAGCGTTGGTTAGAACCCGTGCCCAGAGAAAGCCCAGCGCCTGCTCTCGTCCCTCCCCTTCGTGGGCAAGTGAGCTGCAGAGTCACGTGCTACTGTCCGCTTGCCAGCCCAGTAACCTGGAGCGAGGCCAGGCCTCGGGGTCTGAGAGGCCAGGACCGTGGGGAGAGGCAGTCGGAGTGACCCTGCTGCTGCTCCAGCCCTGTGTTTGCATGGCGTGAAGGCGTGGGAGTCTCACTGCAGCACCGACTCCCTCTGTCTGGAAATGCCATCCTGCTTGCAGACCTTGTCGGGGCAGCTGCTGCAGCCGTCCCCTTCCAGGAGGCTTCAGGACTCCAGATCTGAGAACAACAGGTCTGCTTTAACAAGCTCCCTCAGTCGGAACCTTCTGATTTAACGCTGGTTCGTGGTGCACACGGCTCTCTGGCTCTGGTCTTTGAGCCACACCGTCAAGTAGCTAGAAGTACACCTTCCAGGGAGAGCCCTCGAACCCTGCCTGGACCTCACATGACCCAGGTCTCTGCAGTCCTTTCTTCTCACAGCAGCCAGGGCGATCACACCGCATCAAACCTCAGACGCTGCTGGTGGGAACAGAAAGTGGTGGTTCCTTAGACAGTTAAGTAGGGTCACCGCATGACCTGGCAGTTCTACTTTTATATATGCGCCCAACAGGAATGAAAATACGTCTGCCTGAAAAGCCGCACACAGAGACCAGTAGATGGCGTAATGGTTATGTCGTTGGACTCCCATGTAGTTGACCACGGTTTGAGTCTCGGACCCTGCGCCTTAAAACTCGCAACGGGCATGTGTGTGTCCGTGCCCAAAATCCCAAGAGGAGAATGGAGAAGGGATCATGGCGTGGCTATCCCCGGGGGGATGATTTCCCACGCCCTGTCTGTCTGTCTGTCTGGAGAATGAATGTCTGCCCACTAAAGAACAGAGAAGAAAATGCAGCACTGCTTACAGTGCCCTGGGGGTGGGGGTGGCTGAGGGGTCCGGGTTTCTCTGCGGGTTCAGGGGATTACTCCTAAGTCGATTGTCCTGGTGGTCGCAAGCCCTGGACGCACCCCCAGGACATCCGAGTCACACGCTTCATGGCGAGCTCCCCGGTGGGAGAGCTGCAGTCCCATGAAGCCGCAGGTGCAGAACAGCGAGGCAGAGCTGGGCTAGGTTATTTCCTCAAGGCAGGACCTGTGAGCAAAACCCAGCTTCGTGAGAGTCCCGAGGAAGGGTGTCAGGAAGACTGGGACAGCGCAGGCCAGAGAGAGAAATGCTCCGTGAAGGACCAGCCCAGGGTGGGCCAGCTGCAGAGGCCGCACAGCCTGAGAGCTAAATGCCTCGCCTCCAACTCCCTACCCTGCTTATCGGTTGCTGTGCGATGTCTCCCTGCAGGGAGGAAGGACTTGCAGGTTAAAGGCCTGGGTGAGGTGCTGCCCCTGCAGTCTGACCAGCAAGCCTTTGGGTGTCAGAGCTCTTCCTTCTCCTTCCCCTCTGAACTTCCACGGCTTCCAACATGCGTCAGTTCGCGTGTCTGGGGCCAGAGTGGAACTGCTCCCGGCAGTGAAAGGAAGACAACCCCTCCCCTCCCTCTCTCCTGTCCAGTCTCTCAAACGGGCACTGAGAGTGCAGTGTGGAGGAGGGCAGGGCCTGTGTCTGGGTCTGTGTGCACCCTGCGGTGGCCCCACAGTGCACCGGTGGGCGCAGGAAGCTTGGAGATGCACACTGTGGGCTGGAGAGCAGGGGAGGGACCCTCACCCTCTTGTGCTGGAGTGGGTCCAGGCTGCAGTTTTCGTGAGGCCACGGAGTGCCAAAGAGCAGAAAGGACCTGCTCCTGCTCCTGCTCACTCTCCTCCAGGGCAGCCTGCCTTGAGAAAGCCGGCCCTGCCCGCGCCCTCGCCCTCTTCCTGCCCTTGCCCTCAGCTGTTCCTTGGTCTCGCAGGCTTATTAATGGCACTTCCCAGAGGCCCAGAAATAGCGAGTTCCATGAAAAGGCTCATGGAGAAACACAATGCAGCTCTTTATGTGGCAGGGTCCATTAGGGAAATGGGTCAGCTCTCTTCTAGGGCAGACATTAGGACACTAAGCCGATGAGCAAGCATGCCCGGACGTCCATCTGGCAAGGCTTTCCTCTCCCGGCTGCCCAGGTGGTAGCCCAGACCTGCTCTCCCTCCCTCAGGCTCGTGGAGAAGGGCCCTTTGTCCTGAGGACGCCTGTCAGATTACCCGGGACAGCCCGAGTAAACATGGGGAGGAGATGTTAATGGAGCAGAGGCGTGTGCGTGTGTGTGTACACACGTGAGCACGTGGGCGTTCTGGATGTGGCCCGAGTAAACATGGGGAGGAGATGTTAATGGAGCAGAGGCGTGTGCATGTGTGTGCATACACATGTGAGCACGTGGGCATTCTGGATGTGGCCCAAGCCAGGCTCCAGGAAAGCAAGGCTCATGGATAGCGGTCCGCTGACCCGCTCCCCCGTGGCCCGGCCTATGGGCAGAACCACACGAGGTGGCTCATTGTTGAGCCCACATGTTGGCGGTCAGCGCTCCAAAGGACTGTCCGTGCCCGGTCCCCTCGCTGTGGCTCAGAAGAGCCGATGCACAGGGCACATGAAACCATGGCAGCTGGAGGTGATGACGGGGGACCAGCACCGAGCTGAGGGAGAGCTGGGAAGCGGCTGTCCCTGCCAGGGTAGCAGGGAGCCGGTGCTGGAGAGGCAGAGCTCACGGGAGCCGGGAGCCAGTCAGGCAGCCACTGTGGGCCTAGGCAGGGCGGCTTCCAGAAGGGGGCACGATGGAGAAGTCTGGGGAGCCGGGTGCTCTGTTCACGCCAGCAGTAGCCCTTCTGGCAGAATGTGGGCAAGACCTGGTCTATAGGCAGGGTCAGCAGGGGGCGCTATCAGATGACAGACAGGGAATTACCGAGCTCCTGGGACCTCCAGTGAGGACAGGCCGTGTAGACAGTTTGGTGTGTGCTCGTCCACAGGTCTGCGTGCTGTGTGTCAGGTGGTGACTGCCGCCCACTTACGCCAGAGCGGGCACTGCTTATTAACTGGGGATTGACACTCCCTGACACCGCAGCCAGTCGGGAGTTCAGAGAAGGCGTCTGGATGGAGCCCAGCCGTAGGAGGTTCCAGCCCCCAGCCTCCTTCACCTGCACTGTAGGCCGGGCACCAGCCTGCCCTGGCGGGCACAGGGTGCTCCCTGCTCCGCAGACATCCTGGCCCTCTGGTTTCTGGCTTCTGCATGCCAGAGTATTTTCGCTTTGTTTTGTTTTGAAAAAATGGGATCGTATCACTTCTCTGCTCTAAAACCCATCGCTGATGGGTGATGCAGTGGCTTGTGCCTTTAATTCCAGTTACTTGGGAGGCCACAGCAGGAGGATCACGAGTTCAAAGCCAGCCTGGGCAACATAGCCAGGCCTCTCTCTAAAATGAGTGAGTGGGTGGACAGCTACTGGAGGCCCCCTGGGTTCCCACTGTGCTTCAGAGGGCCCCGCGGAGTTCTGCAGGGCTTCCCCTCTGGGCCTTGGTGCTGGGTCACCCTGTCTGCGCCCCCGCCCTCGCTGGTTTCCCCACGGGTGGTCTCCTCCCCACGGCCAGCCCGCACCACCTCGCACCACCTCGCACAGCCCTCGCGCGCGCCGCCCTAAGGCTCTGCCCACTCCCACAGGTGATCTACGCCCTGAACATGCGCCAGGACGAGGTGGAGGCCGGCGTCGAGGCCGGCGTCGAGGCGCTGAGGGAGGCGCATGAGGAGGAGCTGCAGGGCTCAGCGGAGCCCAAGGCCAGGCCCCCGCAGGAGCAGGGCCGCGCAGAGGAGGAGGCCCTGCTGCAGCGCGTGCAGGCGCTGGAGAGCGCCCTGGAGCTGCAGCGGCGGCTCACTCGGGAAGCGCAGGCCGAGTCCGCCGCGTGCCGGCTGGAGACCAAGGAGCGGGAGCTGCAGGCCGAGGCAGAGCACGCCGAGCGCGTCCTGGCGCTGTCCAGGGAGATGCTGGAGCTCAAGGCGGACTACGAGAAGCGGCCGGGGGCGC